TTTTTAAAACCGACATTAAAACATAGTTTATTAACAGGACTGTTTAATCAGCTTATTCAAGTCGTTTTTTAAGTTGACCATAGATAAGTTTAAACTTTTAACCGGCTTGTTTAAAAAAAAATATTCGTAGAAGACAAATACATTGTTGGTAACTTTGGAGAATGGCTTGAAGAAAACTTTATGCGATTGATAGGCCAATTCAAAAGCACCAGCTAAAGATTCAACCGGGTACCTCACTCTATTTATGATAACAAAATGTTTACGATTACTTGTACCGGTACGTTTAATGCATCCAATGTGAGGAAGAACCTTCAGAGAGTGTTCTATCATTTGGTTTTCTATCCTCTTCAATTCTTCGACCATCAGTTTTTCGCTCTGAAAAATTATAGGCATGTGATATATTTCCGGAGAAAATAAAAATAGTATATGAATAGTATGTGCTAAGCTTTCTTTTTTCGCTTCATAGGTGCGTATTAATTTTAAATGTTGTGAAGAGTGAGGAAAAACTTGAATTTGGAGAACTCGAAGCCCAATTACTAAATTTTCAGCTACAAAAACGCATTCCACAAAAATAGCTGTATTTCATCGAAATTAAGGCCGTTTTGAAAATTAAATACGGCATTGTACTAAGCCGTTTCTTTTAGAAACAAATACACTTTTCTCAATTTATGCAAAAACCACGTTTTTCGAAACAAAATTGCTTATAAAATTTAAATTAATGCATCAATCTCTAATTTGACGCTGGGTTCTGAAAGATAATACAATTTTGCATCGAAATACGTGTTCTAGCAGTTGTCAATTTTTTGGGGTTTCATTTTTAGGCATATTGAAGACATTAGGATTGTAAAATCGAAGTTTTGAAGACCTTCAATTTTTTTAATCAGTTTAGTGCGTATAAATTAGATGAAAATAATGAACAATGTGTAATTTAAATGAAATGAAAATAATAAAAATCAATGAATACCTCTGCTTCCGTTATGAAAAAATGGCACACCTCTTGTATATTATATTTTAGAAGGGATTTTCCTATGTTCCATTTGCCATTGTTATATAAGAATAACAATGCTGGCAACAACTTTATTGCATATTCTTCTTTGGTTAAAAAAAAAAATTTGTTTTAAAATAGTTAAAAGTACAAGAGTTGATATAAATCATTAGGAGCATAAGACGTAATAAGTTACCTTCTATGAATAATCTTTTTTCCTGATCAGAAGTTGGATTCGATCTTTGAATTTCTTCTTCTAATTTTACCAGTTGTTGTTTGATGTATTTATGATTAAATTGCTTAGCAGTTATTTTAGCGGTTTTTTTTCTCGCTAAATCTATAATACTTATCAATTTTTTCGATAAGTTTTGAGATTCGTAATATTCTTTGGTTAAACTATAAAAGTCATTCCTAATCTATAAAAAAATTTAAATATTAGTTTTTATGGAATTGTTATTTTATTAAAAAGTAAGGAACGTCAGATGCAAATTACATAATTCGAAATTTTTTAAAAGCAAATTCAATTTAAACATTTTTTTCGAATGTAGTAAAATAAGCATAAATAACTGTAATATAAAAAAAGTACTTTAATACTTACTAGTTCATGAGCATTTAACTGATGCAACACTTTTAGTTTTTTATAAATTTCATTAATTTCCTTTTTTTTATATAAAGTAAATCTTTGAAAGGCTGACTCNGCGCGAATATCTTTCCAGATTGAGTTAAGGGTAATATCCTGCTCAGCGTCGGTCATAATACGCACTCGACAGAACTCGAGGGCGTTTCGCGCTCGGGACTGAGCATGAATTGTGCTCGACTCAGAGCGTGAATGTATCTCTATGTATTCGAGCCTGAAACATGGTCAAAAGTTTTTCCGTGTAGTATCACTTATTAGGACGAAGAATTATTTACCAATTCAACATCGTTTTTCGCACATAACCAACTAATATTTTAAATATCAATCAACATTATCGTAACAATAATATTAATAAGTAAATGAATAAATAATACATCAAAAATATTAATATTAATTTTAACCGAGGATTTTCCTATAACCATGAATCAATTTAAAACATTTTACAAAGCCGGGGAAACTTTTTTTTTTAGATATTTTTTCATATTTTTATGATAATGAGCCAATGAGCAAAATGAAGTTGGATCACATATTCATCGACATTAGCGTGCGTAAATTTTGCGAAAGAAGTAATGCGACTTTGTAAGCGTGTAACGCACAAGTTTAATTGAATCATATAGTCATTTGAACCGGTTGCAAAAGTATACAATAAACACTGCGTAGTTGCTTTAAACTTTATTCGATAATTAATTTAAAGATTAAACTCGCTGCATACAGATGAAACTTTTAATGGCTTTGCAGTGTAACAAGGCTAGTTTGATAATAATGCAAAGATATCGAGTTAAAATTTCCTGCAGCTTTTCATGCCTGGATATACTGCGATGTTGCGTACTCCCTCAAAGTATCAACACTGGCCGTTACTGCATCATCGTCCCCAGAAGACTTATGGCCTGCGCGTTTATGCGATATAGCTCGGTAAGAAAGACAAATATCCTAAAATACCACTCATAACTATGACAATGAATGGACCGACTCGTGTACCTTCAAACAGACTGCGGCTATCAAATATTGCCTACGGGCACGAAAAACATCAAGATCGGTAAGATTTGCAAATGTACTATCGTAATGGCATATGTATGTTTGCAACAGTAGTAAACTAGGCATACGCGAGTAACCGAAAAACTCGATCGAGTCGATTACTCGCACACCTTTAGTCTATAACACGGGCACGTTTGAGAAAGATATCATGAACAGGTGCAAATCGATCAGTTGCAACGATTATTTATGGCCGCGAAAATGTACTGTTTATTTCGTGTACATGGACAGCATTCAAAGGCTTTTGGAATAAATGCACAAACCTTTAACGTCGCGCGCATTGCGCTACAGTTATTGAAGCTCTTGTCGCAAAAAAATTCGAAACTTTAATGAAAACAAAAAGCTTGTACATACATAGAAAGTATACAGCGCGATGCAACGCAGCACTAACTCACCCTCTCTCGGGCCTCTTTCGTTATTCAATGTATACCCAAAAAGTTAGAGCAAATAGATTTGCCAGTCGAGAATATACATATATACATTCACACACAGGCACACACACACACACACAAGGTCGCACACGCAGGTATTTATTGTTTGCCCTCCGCTGTAGCTTTGCACGCGTTTAACGAGCTGCTGATAAACTTTGAGCCTTGCAGCGCTCGTGCAGAGTTCGCAGTGGATATGCAGCAGCGTCGCGCGCGTATTGCATATAGCAGTCACGTTGCACCGAGTCGACGTTCTCATTGAGCGCGACAGCCGACGACTGTTGTTTGCAAAGGGACTACAATCTTTTTTCTTCGTTTGTTTTTGTTTTTTTTTTCCTTTTTTTTTTTTTTTGTAAATTTGTTTGATTTCACTTGTGCGGTGTGGGATTTTTTTTATTATCCCAGGTAGATTGTACCGCAGAACAAACGAAAGGCAGGTTTGGATATGGCTAAGGTTCGGGCGTATGGTCCCATCTACCTCATGGCCATTCAAATATTTCGTGAAAAGTTATCTCCGTGGCTGGGTTATTATTTCATGACTCACTACAGTACATAGTTTTTGTCGGTGCCGCATACGCACGAAATACGACTGCGGCCATTTATTTTTGGATTTTTCATATTTTTACGCTCTCAAGGGAAAAGTCTGAAAATAATACATAAATGGCATCCAAAAAAATCGATTCCAAGTGCCGGAAAAATTCAGACCAAAAACACCAGCTATTATTCATCATAATTAAAAGTTTAAGCGGAAAGCAAAACTTTCAAGCAACCCATGTAACACAGCTATTTAATAAGTTGGCTACACTAACAGAAATTTTTTTACCGCATGATGAAAACTAAGTTTCATGTAGCGTAAAAACCGAATATTCATGTAACATGAAAATCAAAGTGAAATTTCATAGTACATGAAGAAAAATGTGCAAAAATTTCTTCTCAAGTAATATGAATGTTCAGTTTTCATCATAGATGTAACTTACAGTTTTCTTGTTGTGGTGAATAAATTACTTCCAATAAAGTATACAGCAATTTCATTATAACACAGCTAAAAAATGCTTGAAAGCCAATCAATTGCAAAGATAGGAAATGATTACATGGATTTTTCAAACCCATAGTAAAAGATGTATTTGAAAAAAAGTATTGAGAACAGACGCGGAGTTTCGAATTTGAAAAATAATAGAACTTTAAAGGGTATGTATCAATGGAATTGTCTTTTTGAATTTATTAAGGCGCCGCTAGACACAGAAGCCGTTATTTTTCCTGCGTTCAAAGCGAGAATCCAGGCAAGCGAGGGTAGGTCAGCTGCAGAAATCCTATTTGATGATATACTTGGCACTTGCGGTCGTGTTTATATCGTTGTATTTATCAATTCGATTTCGGAGCAGCTTAGCCGCAGCGTTGAAGCTAGTCGCCACCAATGCCTGTCCTCGCGATCTATAACATGCGTGGATCGTGACTATACCATCGCTCTCGAGCTACGTATGCCCGCGTTTCTTTATAAACATACGAATATTGAGTTTCCGACTTGGCAATGCAACTGGATCGCTAGTGGATCGTGTGTGCGTGTGTGTGTGTGTGTGTGTGCGCGCGAGCGCGCTATGTACTGCAGCTATTTTTTTGTTTATGCTTTCTGATGTTTCCGATAGTGCTATACATCTTTTATTTTCAGTAAAATATTAAATTTTATTGGTTGGAAATTTTTTTGTGGAAATTATATTATTTAAAGTGAACTATATAGTGTGAAATGTTCAAAATCAATCACGAATCCCTTACACCTATGATAACTGAATTGCTTCAACATTAGCCCATTCTTTTTTGTAAGAGTGTATTATTATTATTGTATTATTAATGTCGTCAATTTACATCATCTAAAAAGTGGAAAAAACAGAGAAATTATCAATTAGTATAGAATCAATCTTACCTGGATTTTCAGTAGTTAAAAACTCCGAGAAATCTGAAAAATAAAAAAAAATTATTCATCCAACCGAAATGGCAATGAAATGTTCATCAACTTCAAATGGCAAGAATTTTTTCCGTATGTAAGTATAATTTTCATACTCTCTACTACAGCCATTTTCGCGTTTTACTTTGGCTGCTTGTAGCCATGAGCTCAGACGAGGATTAAAGATCATGAGACCAATGCGACATGGCTTTTAATTTTTCTACGACTTTCAAAGGATGAAAAGCCAAGATCAGAAAAGTCGGACGCGCCACGAGAGTAACGCGCGCGTTGCACCAGCTCTTGCACTGACCCAAATATTTTTTGCAATTTTCCGCAAGCTACCTACTGCTTACTTCGCGCTACAAAGAGTCCTCACACACATGCTCACACAGAACATCATGAAACATTTCTCGTCAGCTTTATGATGAAAAAACGAAAGAAAAAAAAACTAAAATATAATATCTTGATGAAAAAGATTTGATTTTTTTCAATCAAGTGACAAAGTGTTTTCGAGAGGAAGTTTGAAAACGTCTTCATTATTACGAGGCGCCGATTGGATGCTGTTGAATTATAAAATCACCGGTTGGACGTCGACGAGGGAAAATAAGTTTATTAGCTCGTTCATGCAAACGGTAGTCGAGAAACGTCATCGTGGTTGAGCAAAGTCTCGATCATATAATACGATTGCAGGTAATAAAATGGTACCTTTCCGCCTGATTAGCGCCGCGGACGACGAAGCGACGAATCATTGCTGCTTAATGATTTTCTTGCGGTTCGCTGAGTGACTGCAAATCGGGGTTAATTAGCTCTGATTCTGTTTAGCATCGGCTAGTGCGATAAGTCGATCGACTACGAGCTTCGTACGAAAGAGCGACGCAAAAACAACAAAAAGTCTATTCTCATTTTACCCCTGACCAATAAGAGCCGGCTTTTATAACCACGGAATGTCGCTCTTTATAGTACTTCCTCGCAACGAGCGCACGCCTAGAGCTTCGTTATAGCTATGTACAAGCTTTCAAATCGTCGACCATCCGAGCGGGCTGCGCAATTGCAAAAGGTCGACCGTGTAGCGAATTCCTGACGGAATAACAGCGTCGCGCAGTGTTAATTGTATCGTCCGCGATTCCCGAGACCCGCGAGTTCATCTAAAATGGAGAGATTTATCAAGCGAGCTTTATCCAACTCTCGTTCCATATTATACGAACGCGTCGGGGTATTAGCCGCAGCCTTGGAAAGTTGAGACTCGACCAAGATCACCCGCACGGCCGAATATTGCGTCAAGTGGGGAATAATCATTCACGCCTGCTGAAATAGCACCGCACAAGTTCAATTGTCTTGGGATGTAAGGCGCCGGCACTTCTGCAGCTTTACGCGCCAAGTTAAAGTAATGCCTATCTGTTCGAATTTCTGAAGTGTCGTTCAAAACTACGATTGACATGAAGGACGACGGCAATAAAGTTGAAATCATTACTTTGCCCGCTCGTAATAGCGCTAACCGTCTCAAGCTCTTGTTTCAGTTTTTATTTCTGTCTTTTACTTATTCACCATCGGAACAAGTAAATATGCACTTTATTCTTTGTATTTTAGCTTTACTTTGAAATATTTTGTAAATTCGTTTCGAAAAATTCTATATTTAGTAAAAATATTCATTGAATATCATTCGTTTATGAAAGATATTATTACATACAAGGTACCTAAAGCTTTGATAAAAATATAATACTTGAATGAAAAGAAGTGGGTATCGAACTTCATCCACTTTTCCGTTATAAAAAGTGAGATTGAGTCTCATTATAAGAAATCAATAAAAGATTTCAAAGTAATCGTGACACAGGTTAAACCTCCAATTATTATAATTATCGAGTGCGTCGCTTCAATTTTTTTTCAAATTTACATGATAAAAGACGAAACAATAAAATTGCTTGCAGTTGAATAATTATTTATCGATTTTCTTTACGACAGTCCATGCCCACGCGTTGAAAAAGCCCAGAAATTTAGATCGATTAATAAGCTTACGACAAGTCACCGTTACACCGAGTACGAGTGCGTCTTTGTACTGGCAGTCAGACAATCAGCGTCCACATTACCACACAATAAGCAGAGAGCATAATTTCTCGACACTTATTTACCTAATTGTGCTTTGACATTCGCTTTTCTCTCCAACAATTTGGTCCTTATTTGCAAGCGAGCTAAGGTAGTAGTTACCCAACCTCAACAAGACGCATTAGTCTAAATATCTATGTACAAATATTTGCTTTTCAGAATCGCCAATGAGAAACATGCGTTAGTTTATCCATTGAATGGACGAACGCCGCAAAGAATAGGTCGAGGATTAATCGAGTTTTGCACTAGATTAAAATCCATCGATTCTGGTCAGAATGAATAGTTGCATATTATACACACATGTCTCGTATAAAACCTGGATTATACAACAGAATCAACACTAGCGATCTATGCAAATTTACACGTCGAGCCTTCCACTAGTGCCTACGCACACATTGACCCAGATGGCTGGATAAGTCCATGCATTAATCTAATTAAAGCTTTTATCGCTCGCAAATTTAGGCATCAATTACTTTTTTCCATAAAAGTATGATACTTGATGAAATCAAAAGATGGATTTTAATTTGTACTTATTGATAATGCGATAATTTGTGTTTGTCACAGATTTCTTCACCTTTTTGGTAAAATATCCTCTATTAAAATTTAACTATTTTATTATCTGGGATATGTAGAGGAGATAATTAGGTGAAGGAGTCTGCTTCGCGATCAACTGAAATATTATACAAGAAGAAAATCAAAAGTGTAGTATATATTACAATGGTTTTTAAACAATAGCTTATTTGTATCTACATCGAATCAAAGTCTGGGTATGGGTTTGAAATATGAAAAAAATTCGGAAAAGAAATATTTAAAATGTCACGGCTGAATTTTATCAAATTAATTTTAATTTAAACATGGAATTATCAAAACTTCATTTTCATTTCAGCTTTGTTTCAACAACTCCTTTGGAAAGCAAATGAAGTTCAATTTGTAAAGTTAATTCAGAGATTTTATGATAGTACGTATAACTAGTGCAATCGATAAGATCAAAGATACATCTTAGAGTTCCCGTTTAGTTTTTTTTTTTTTAGTTTTGTAACTCTGTCTTGGAAGAGAACTGTCACTTCAAACATTGATAATAAACTGATAATTATTGTAAAATTAGCCACCACTAAAGGTAAGAGAAAGGAGACGTACAAAGAACCGTGCGGGTAAAACACTGAATACGAAGCCTTAGTTGCATTGCTTTTCGACCCCACCACAGAAGCAATCTGCAACACGGCCGCTGCCGGGCGGCTTCAGGAAAGGAAGATACTGCACGAAGACGACGACGACGACGAGGAGTGCGCGCGTACAGCGCAGAAGGCGAGAAAGACCAGACGCTCGTTAAGTGTCTAGTGCAGGCGAGCGCAGAAAGAGCACGCCCCCACGTATATTGTACACGTTGTACCATATTACGTGGATGTGCATGTATGAGTGCATGTCTGTGCGTCTGTGCTCGCGCGTGAGAGAGAGAGAGAGAAGCGAGTGCACGCGTGTGCGGTCTCCTCTGCGATTTTGCGTCGAAAGTGCCGCTACCAGAAACAAGCCTCCATGGGTATCTATAGCTTTCTGCGTACCACTCGTGTATATATTCAAAGAGTCGCTTAATGTAAAAGCGGCCATCGCATGCCATATTATACACCCCGTAAACTTAATTTACCCATAGGCATCTCGCATGCTACACTAGCGTATAATTTTATGATTTCTCAAAATAATATTTTTGTTCGACGGGGCGTAGATAACATTAGACTTGATGCCTTTGATGCTTACTTTTCGAAATACAATTTTGTGGTACATCGACGATGATGATGATAATAATACATCGTCGTCCTGCGTCTAAAAGTGTAAAGCTCGTGGAATTAAAGAGCGAACACGGATCGATGGTTTACGGCAGACATTGGCTCCGGCATTTAAGTCATAAAATCGACGGTGACGAACAAAAATGTCAAACTTATAGCGCCGAGTTATGCAAACAAACGAGAGCAAATTTTATTCGATATCGCTCTGATTGCGTACGATGGAGCCGCTGCGTCCGTTGAAACTGCTCGCGTGCGCCGCTATTTGAATATTGAAAATAATCCAACTCGAACGGGCTCCGAGCGCGTCCTTTTTGTATTTGTGCGCGATCTAATTAAACACTTGGAATTCACAAAGGGACGATCTGGAAAAACGCAGGTTTGTATCCAATCAACGATACGACGACGCTTCGCTTTCGAGTGCCGCTGGAAATGATGAAATCGACGATACAAGCGATATAGGCATGATTGTACGTGTAGAGGTAAGGTCCCAATCGACCTATACAGACGAAATCCTTTCAGCTGGGAGCTCGATGTTGGAGTTAAATTTCGCGAGATGCTCGTTGCACATGGCAGCACTCGAGAGTCGAAAGAGTGTACGTAGTAGCGGTTCGAAATACAGCCTGTAAGTAAACAATTAGTCAGCCTCTTTGCTGATTCCGCCGGTGCAAGCCAAGAGAGAGCAATTGTAATCCTGATGGAAGCGCCCAAAGAGCGAGGATGAGACTGCACCTTGGGCTCGTTAGCTTGCTGAAACGAAGACTCCCTCTATACGTATAGCCTATATGTATAGCCTTTACGGATCGAAGATGCTCTTTTGGCACACTACAGCGGCGATGAGCTTTTCCGCTTCTATCCCCCCAACTAGCACGTATTCCTTTTCTTCTTTACAAGACCCGAGATAGCTGTTGATACATGGATCGACGCCCGCCATTCTATATAGTGCCCGCGACGATCGATGTCATTGTCCTCTTTCTGATCTATACTCACAGGCACGAATGAAAACGTCCTTTTCTCCCTCTTTTTACAAGAACAACTTCTACATAAAAAAACGCTACACAGTGATGGAATTACTTGTTACGTCCAAATAACGGAGATGGTAAATTTTACAAACTATACTAGTGACAAATTTTG